TTTATAATTTATTAATTTTATTTATATAGTATTTTGGTCTTTTTTGTGTTAATATTTCAGAATAGATATTACTGTAAGAGACTGGTTTTAACAGATTTATTGGTAATTGCCATTTCATTTTTATTTTAACTTTTAAGAGATCCAGGACCACCGTTAAAGTATGACATATATATGGTGGTTAATCCTTATAATATTTTCTCATATAATATTACCTATATATAATTTTAATATACGCACACACATTTGTAAAATTAAACTAACTAAATTGTCCATACAATATTTTCATGCCACAGATAGTCGAAAGTCGTAATTATTATTGTTCCTTGGTCAATTACTATCAATGATTCTTTACATTAGATAAACACAGTGCAGAAAACCATGTGAATTTAATAAAATGTATTTTAAAAGAATTCAATTTGGATTTGAATAAATGTCGAGGTCAAGACTATGATGGAGCAGCTGCATGAGTGGAATTTCTTCGATCGTTCAAAAACGAATCAGTAACAACATTCCGAGTGCTTCTTATGTTCACTGTTCAGCACATAATTTAAATTTAGTGTTGTGTGATTTATCTAAAAACACTCCTAAAATATCTCAGTTTTTTTATATTGTTCAAGACATTCTTATTTTTTAGTAATTCAACCCCTATATGGGTATCATTAGCTCTAGGAAATGACACTGCTAAAATAGTTTTAAAAAAATTATGTAATACTAGATGGGAAGCTAAACACAATGCTATATATATACACTAAAAATTAAGTTTATAGCTATACTAAAACCATTAACAAATATATCACTGACCAGTAATAAGCCTGATGAAAAATTAATGGTCACTGGAATTTTTTATTTTGTTATTAACAATATAGGAAAATATTTTAAGGAATTTCCATCTTGTGTCTAAAAAATCGCAAGGAATAGATACTCATCTTCATGGCGCATGTGCAATTTTAAATCAAGCTACAATATCCATGACAAATTTAAGAAACCAGTATGAAAAAATAGTTTCATCTGCAACTGACCAATGCAATATATGGGCCATACCAATCCAACCAACTATTCGCCGTCGTATTCATCATATCATAACTAAATATGTACATCTACAAAATATACTACAAAGAGAAATTATTTTTACAAAAGCCAAAATATTTATGTAGAAATATTTATTACTTAATCAAATATTATTCTCAATTAGATAAAAAATATAATAAATACTTAAAATTGTTAATTGAAAAATGTGAATTCATTAATAGTTGTCAAATATTTGAGTTGTACGGTTATTAGAGAGGATCGAGAAGTATGAAATGCCTCTATTGATTTATTTTTTTTATTAATGTGTTCCTAGGTTTGTTTGAATAACAATGTATTTCCTAATATACAAAAAAATACGACCTATCATTGCTTCAGATTAAGTTGTTCAATTGGTTTCGAAAGTTTTTGATAAAGAGGAGCGGGGGAGTACAAACATTTTAAAATTTAAGTATTGTAAAAATACATTTTTTTTTAGAAACAGTCTTTCAGCGGATATCTAAAATTGAAATACCGTCTTTAACCGAGACTGGGAGGGATTGATGAGCTTAGACAAATGGAGAGGGGCATCATATTCGTATCATTTTAACATCACTGATGAATAGGGGCCTCAAAACCTTAGTTGCGGCACTGATGGCAAATGTATCATAGTGCCATCGACCGATTCCTTGAGCGTGACGAGAAAAAAAAAAGAAGATAATTATTAGGTATCTGTTGAATCTCTTTCGATATTATGCTGTTTATGGGCCCATTGTAAATTTTTTTCCGGAGGCCCAATCGTGTACCGGACCGACACCGGTCGACGTGCACGTATTCAAATGGGTTGCTGTGCACACGTGCTCGGACGATCAATATCGTTGATCAATGCGAGATCACCCGGCTGAAGTTGTTTGGACTTCGGAACGTGAACACAAAAAAAAAAAATAATAACGATGGTTTACCGCGGAAATGTTAACCACGAGTCGGCGGCATCTCACTCACTCTCTCACCGGTAACGCTGCGAACGAATCCTCCAGCGAGATCTGTTGGCGAGCGACGTTGACTTATTCGAAGTGTCGAAATGTGTCGAATACCGGTCCCAGGGTAATGTGTCACGTTTCGCTCGCAATGTTACGCGTCTATATCGACATAAGCGTGTGCAGACATAACTGGCAGGGTAGTCAAACATAATACATTATCATTTAATATTAACAAAAAATTTGCATTCGTAACTTCATTTAACTTAAAAACTATATTTCTCCAGTATTCTTACATTTTTTTTAACGTTAACTAATGTTTCGAAGTGGTTGAAAATAGTATGTTTATTTATTATTGTGATCATATTGAATATTTTGGTGAGGGTGGGAAGTTTCACAGAATAGTCAAGTACCTACCCTGACTACCCCGTGTGCACGCTTATGTATATCGACACCGGTAAGTGTACACGTTTCCGTGTGCACACAAACACGTATTCTAAAACACTCCCCGCGGCGGTAATTTTAATGATTTACTATCTCAATGCGTTATAGGTGTCTAATTGCGAATCGCGACACAAAAACCATCGCAACTTTGTCGTCGAAACGTAAGGAAATTCAAGATACTCGCATCATATCTATACACTAACCGTAATTTATTCACTCTGTGCTCTTATGCTTTTCTTTGTGCGGCAGTGAAAAAAAAAAATAATAATTAAAATTATATTAAAAGCTTAATGACATTTACACGGTATTGGGTAATGGTATTTAAACGGTAAGTGTCGAAACGCTAATCTCCGATTAATCAGTCGAACAAAAAATAAAATATTTATTCATTAATCATTCACTCGTTACCATTTAACGAAGTGTTAATATTTTACTCGAAATTATACTTCGAACAGTTGATAAGAACTTTCTAAAATGTATAGATATTACAAAAATCCAAACTCTACAACCCCATCAATTTTTTTCAAAAACCGTTTCATTATTACTTGATTTTATGGTTTTTTTATTTGTTTTTTTTTATAATACATATTCTTTTTCTTCTTTACCTTTCTCTCAACAATTTGGAGCGGCTAACTTTGTCCTAATCCCAGGTACGGCGCGAGGGGGTGGGCAATAGGGGCAGTTGCCCAGGGCCTCGCGCCTAAATTATAATTAAGGCCCCGCGGTTCTGATTTAACTGAACCTAAAATATTTTAATAATATAAATTATAAGACCTAACATTTATTTTTCCCTGGGCCTGGCAAACTCTAACAACGTCATTGCCTAAACCTCCACTAGTCTTTATTTTTTACATCCCCTACGCACACACCAACGGCCCTCATATCATTCTCAATCGTATCCAACCATCTCTTTTCCTTTCAGCGTTCATTTTTACAAAAATTCATACTGAATTTGTTTTCCTTTAGTTTCATCATATGCCTAAACTATCTCAATCTATTTTCTCTCATCTTGTTCACTATAGACGCTACACCAATACTACCTTTCACGTATTCATTCCTTATACCATCTTTTCTTTTTTTTCAAAAACATATAATATTAAATTTATACATTTCAAAATACTGACTTTCGAAATTACATTTTAATAGATCGACTGTAAATATTATTCATATTTCCAAATATATACATTAAAAAAAATGATTGATACAAGAATAATAATAATTACATATTTCGTGATGAATTTAAATTAAAATCTTACGACGTGCGATTTGTGTGTGTGTATGTGTGTTGTGAATCGATTTCTAGAAAATATATTATTCTCTATAATCTACAACACAAAAAATTAAAATATAATGTAAAACTTGTGTTTTTTAGTATTTTACATCTAAGACAACTACATAACAACTTTATGTAAATATCTTTATATTTTCTATTTTTTTTTCTTCAATTCTAAACGTAGTTACATTAAGAAAACGTCTCACCCGCATGTATTGTCTCTGTCTGACATACGTACAATAAAGCAAATTTGCTTTCAGTGATTCAAATGTAGTGAAGTTAACTTTAATAATAGAGTAAACTGACCTATAATCAAACTTAAAGGGAAGAATAGTATTCAAAGAAAGATTAAATATTAAAATACTAATGGTTTGATGAATTCGACATAATTTCATCCACCATATTTCCACATAAATATAATTTAAACACACATAAGTACTGAGAAATCACTATAAAAACACCAAATTTTATAATATTTTAGCAACTATTTACTGTGCCAACTTGAGTATTAATACAGAACATCAAATAATACAATAAATTTACACAATTTTCCAATCAAATTAAGCAATTTTATAAGTTTAAGACATTTTTTAACATTGCAACTTTAAAAATATTTAGTTTTTATTTCATAAAACCCCCATAGGTAATATTAAATTAGTTATAATAAAAATAAAAATTACCAAGAAACATGATCATTTAATATTTTAAATATTATAACGAGTAATACGTACATTTATGATTTTCTATAAAATTTAGATACTTATACAAAACTCCTTTTAAGCACTAACTTAAAATAATGAACGTAATTTATAAAATATAAAGAAATTCAATTTCATACTACAGATTATGGTGTAAAAAAATAGTTTATACTCAATAACTGCCTGTAAGTGTTATTGTTTATTTGTCAACATAAAAACACATTCATTGAATAGTTACATGTACCACACATTAATATAATAGGAAATACTAAATAATACAAAAAATGGATACAAGATCAAAAATTGAATTTTACAAAAAAATTATTATTTCATGAATTAATAGGACACATCAAATTTTATCATTGGGAACATATTGGAACATATTGTATAAATATATTACATACTATATATATTTAACAAAAAATTATCTCATCAAAAATGTAGTTATTAGATTGTTTAATAAATCTAAAAATAATATAAAAAACATATCTTGTATTAATTTTTTTTTTTTTTATTTTGCTTAGTAAATTATTTAAATCTTATTGTTATATAATTTAAAGTATTTTTAGTATGAAAAAAAAGTTAATCAATAAAAAAGGTCACAATTCAATAGATTTAATTATTTCTATGTAGTGGAAACTAATAGACTGGATGAAAAAAAAAGCTTTCTGGGCCAATTTTAAGCACATGTATAATTTTATAAGAAAAAAAGTGTATTGTTCAATTTTTCGTTAGGCTGTTGTCTTACATTTTGTCCAATTAGATATGCCAGTTTATGTGCATACTAGAAAAAAAAATACAATTAATTAATTATCATATGATATGCAAACAAATAATATATATTACACGAGCTACATTAAAGAATACCACACGTCTAATATGTTGCAATATTATAGATCATAATTAGAGCTCAAATATTTATGCATTCAAAAGGACTATGTACGTAATTATGCACTAAAAAATAACCAAATATGCGATCAAAATATGCAGAATTAAATTTGTTATACTCATATATAAAAATTAATTATAATATAATAAATTTATTAATTCATTTCTATTAGTTGATATTTTATATTTTTCTTAATAATATAAACTAATTTACACTATAAGCATTACACTGTGATACAATGGTTTTTATAATTTGATCAAACTTGAATCTAAAAATATTCAAGACCAAAAACTATTATACGGATCAATATTTTTTATTATCTACTCATTGATTTAAATTTTTTTTAAACACATCGAAAATGAACAGAAAGTTGCATTTAATTATTAAAATCCCAAAAATACACCTTTAAAATATAAAACCATAAAATATATAAAAATAGTACTATTTAATTCAGTAGAACAAGAATTAAATTTTTATCCACATTCGCATTAAATCAATAGAAACAAATATACAATTCCATAAACATGCGAGCTCTAGTCATAATTAGAAACACCACAATATGCGTAATGATTTTCATTATTAATTTAAATATGATTTTTATAATTATATCCTAATTTATTTAAAACTATAGTTCAATGTTAATTTAATACAATTTTGTGTTATTGAAATAATATTAACTTTATAGCAAAAATAATATTGTTTTTTAATTCTTTTTATAATTTGACAATATCTGGATCAATCCATTCCAAATATTTTATTAATTAAGTAAAAAGCCATACATTAAATATAAACAGAGAATATCTTAAATTGAGAAATAGTTTTTAAATTTTGGTTATAAATATATATATATATATAAATAACATACAATATTAATTCACATAATTATTATTAGAAGAAATTAGTGGTTATATTTTTTTTTAGTATAGTAATAAAACTACTTATTGAAATCAATTGGTGTGATATCCTATAGTTCTGAGTTTCTTAATCTGGGTCACTAACTTATTATTTAGGATTGCGTATGATTTTAAATTTAAATTTTGACAAAATGATTTTATATCAACAGCAATAACCAAGCCATTTAAGAACCTTAATTTAAAAATATATTTTTAGAATAAAATATTTGATTTTCTTTAGTTAAAAATAATTATAATATATGTATTTTATGTACACAGTATAATGAGCAATGTATAGTACTTATAGTATTAATTATTAATAATAATTTAGGCGAACATATGAAAAAGTAGCTAAAAATTGAAATTTAAAAAGGGGGCCTCGGTTAAAAAGTTGAGAAACACTGCTTTAATTTAAAGTATATATTTATGCAACAAATTTTTAAGCAGAAAATTAAATACTATATATATAAAAAAAATTGACTTCATAATTACTTGGACAGGAGCAGGGACTTTAATTGTGCCAGTCCAATTGTAGTACATATGACATAACTTGTATGATAGCCTTTGAATATTTTCCGGTTTCAAATTACATCCATTTTTTAAAACTATGTAATGAGTGGGATTAACAGTTCCCTAAAACCCCAAAAATTATTGCATAAATAACAATTAAAAAGTACACATTCCAACTTTATTCAAGATGACTAAATTAGAAACCAACCTGACGCACATGTTGAGAAACCAAATAAAAATCGAAGAAATTTCTTCTGGTTACTGTATTGTCAATCACAGTTCCAGGGCTCGGGTTTGAATATTTTTTATCTATGTACTAGAACAAAAAATATTATAGTATTCAGTAAATTGAAAAATATTTAAGTAATAGCGAATACAATTATAGAATCGTATGAAGCATTTATTATAAATTTTAATACTTTTATAACAATTAAAACAATTAATTTCTAGATTAAAATCATAAAATATCAACAATGAAAATTGATTTTAACTGAAGGTATGCCTAACCTGAAAAACTCTTGTATTAATGCGCTTTTGAACAATTATACATGTAACCATCGGATTGTAGAATTCAGGATAAGTTTTAAAAGATTCTTGTAAATCGTGCAATTCAACTTCTTCAACATGTTTTAAGTCTCCATCTGATACACCATCTCTATATATAATAATCTTTTCTGGGAGAACTCCATTTTTCTAAAACAAATATGTAGATTATTTTAAGAATAAACCTTATTTTTTAAAACACATTGTAAAACAATTATTAAGAACTAACTTTTTTAAATTGAATCACAACTTTATGGAAAGCTTCTTGAATACACTTCATGAGTTCTTGATGAGTACTCTTTTGCATTCCTGCAACTGAATACCATTCAGTAAATGTTCGATCCATTGACGCAACAAATCCAACAACACTACTCATCTGTTTGCTTTTTTCATGATAAACATCTATTCCAACAATCATAGTATTTTTCTGTAAGAAAATCCAAAATTACAAAATTGTTATAAAGATCAAATTAATAAATTAAAACTTTTTGGTAATTTATAGTTATTAATAATTAATGAATATAAGTAATAGAAAAAACAATTGTTCAATTGTCCTTTTCAACTTTTGTCCACAAATATATTACAGGGAATGGAAAATAATTTCCAATGAAATATAATTCTTAAACATAGCTTAACGTTTACAATATTCATCAATTTTATATGATGGTCACAACTATAATAAATCAGTGTTTAATTTATTGATATTAACAATTAATCAAATATTTATGATGAAATTACATGTTATTGAATCAACTTATAACCAAAAATTAAAATAATAAAAAAAAATAATATTATTACAAATTGTTACAAAATTATAATTATAATTATTTAATACTGGTTAATAGTATACTTGTAATAAACATATTCAATAGCAGAAAACAAAGTATGTATAGTTTTTATCTTTAACATTAACAATAATATTTTTGTTTTCATTTTTTATTAAATTAAATGTATACATAAAACATTTCCAAAAATACATACTAAGAAACTTGCATTGACAATGTTTTTTTAATTTTTTTTTTTATTTTTAAGAATCACAAATCTATAAAAAACAAAATTATTATTTAATAAAGCAAAATTTTTTTCATTCTAATTCATAAAAGGTTACCATGGTTAAATTATACATTGTACTTTGTTGATACAACAAATATTTTAATAAAACTGATTGAAAAAAAAAATATTGTGGATTTGATATTTAATACATACTAATGGAATATCTATAGCCCAACATGCTCCTCCCAATTTACAATTTATTTGTAAAGCAATTTTCTGGGTAATAGACTGTAATCTATCAGGTCTAGATAATGTTCTAGAAACTATGACCTGAAAGTATATAAATAAATAATATAATATAAATAAAAATTAATTCAATTAAGTTATTTTTTTTATTACTTGAGATGGTATTCCCATGTCACTACAACAAATACGTTTCACAGCATTATACCTATCTTCCCGTTGATTAGGAAAGATTATAACTACCAACTGTAAATCACAGCTGTTTCTTATTGTATTATTAATCGTGCTAACAAAAACTTCTGGATTAGTTCCATGAATTTGAATAGGTCTGGGTGCATTAATTTCCATACCCAAAGGACGTCCAGATAATGCTAACTGTTTGCAAAATGATTTTGCAGTTGGTTCATCTCTTGGGTTAAACAAAATAGCCCAGTTTGTTAAATTAACCTAAAAAAAAGTTAACAAAATAACAAAAATTGATTTAACATTTTTACAAAAAATATGATCATAATTATTGTAATTATATCTAAAAATAAAATAATTTACTTACTGCAACAAACATGGCATTTTTGGCCATGTCTATTCCCCAATCCATATTTGGTCCAACTTGTTTTCTGATACTGTTCCCTAATAATATAGTTTCTCGTTTATATACAGGACCTTCCAATATTACAGGGTTTGGACGCATCAAAACACCCCAATCTAAGAATTTTTTTCTGGCACATTCGTTTTCTAAACATTCATAATTATTTATAATTAAAGTTATATTTGTGCTAGACAAAATATACAAATCAAATGACCATATAATCTTATAAAACTTCAATTTTTTACAATTAAATTTTATAGTTATATAAAATAATTATATTTAATGAAATTTATTTCTGTACCATTTATACGATTAACAAAATCAATAATTGCTTGTTGTCTCAATTCAGGCGAAATCAAAGTATGAGTTTGAAGAGCCTTCATCAACTTAAAATCAGATTTCATCGATTCTGTCAGTCCAGTTAAATTACAAAGTTCAGGAACTAAGCAACAAATATCAGAATCCTGAAAAATTATTAATTTTTTTATAATTTGAGTAATGGTAATTAATATATTTGATTACAAACCTTAGGTGCATTTTTACTACAAATATCCTTTTTTTTTGCTTTTGTTATAAGCAATGGCTGATTTAAATTTTTTATTTCAATAGCGTACATTTTTTTGTAATAATCTACATATGATATCTAAAAGATAATGTAAAAATAAGAAAAAATATAGTACAATACATTTCTTCAAAAACAGATATTAATTTTAATTAAATCTATTAATATTTTGCTTTAAAGAAAATTTTACTTCATTTCCATTTTGATTAAATGTGGATAAAGGTGACACTGAAAAGTCAATATCGTCAATTCTGTATGTCTTATGATTGTAATGCGTTATCACTGTAGTACCACATAATACAGCCATTATTTCTTGTTTAGTATCTTTACCATTATTTTTAGCAGCTATCCCAATATCCGTCCTGTAATATTTTTCATTTTTTAAAATATTATTCTATAAGATAATATATTTATTAAGTATTGTAAATAAATTCCAATTTCAAAGCAACATTTTATTATTTAATATATTGAAGAATTTATTAACTGAATTATCAAAACAATTATTTTAATTTAAAAATCATATATAACATTAAATATTTAGGTTTCCTATAAAGACCATTAAGAAATTTAATTTTTCTTAATTATTTTGTATGTTGTTCATCTATAAATGATATATATACTCTATTCAACTTAAGAGTACAACATCCATCGTATGAAAACTGATCACGTCTGTGCATGCTAACCCTACTTCCAGCTGAAATTTGAAGAAAAAATTAAACATAGCATAAAATAAAATAAATTATAATTTACATGACAGCTGAAGATAATGATAACATACGACCATAGAAAGATTGGTAACAACACACAATAATTAAAATTGAATAGGAAAAATTATTGTCGAACAATTCATTTTAGGTGGTCGAGTAACAAACAGCCATTAGTCATGCATGCACTAACTTGTATACTCTTAAGTTATATAGGGTATAGACTATATTTATTAAAAACTCATAGTTTATATAACTATTAATATTAATATTTTATACAAAACCACAAATATTGATAGTATTTACATTATTTGGAGAACAGTATGAACACGCAAAACTCGATGTGAAACTTCGCAACACATATAAAGACCGTTTTCAAACTCATCAATTGAGGTTATATATCCTGGCCAAACTTCAAGTCTACAAAAAATTATTTAAATTATTTATTATATTTAGTAAAATAATTTTTGTTATTGTCTGACTGGAATTCGGGAATTAGTATCCTTTTGTTTTTGTCATAACAACTTCTGCCAAATTCAACTAAGCCCAATGATTTCATTATTGAACGAAGACAAACATTATAAAAATGTAAGCATTCCCGTAAAGAATTTTTGCGTTTAAACATTATTGTTATTGTCACATCAGATTCATCTCTTAATTTTCCCACCAAATGTGTTACCTAAACAAAAAATGTTTATATATTTATAATATAATAAAAATAAAAATAATTTATAAAATAATTACATCTTGTGGCAACTTTGTTGGAACGTAAAGCAATGTCCCATCAAATGTTTTAACTGGATACATTTCTCTGTGTTGATTTAACAAAAAAAACCTTGCGGATTTAACATCAACTGGAGGATTAAAATCAACTCTATACTCGTAAATACCTTTGTTTTCTTCCAAATTTATTTTAATGTAATTGGATGATAATTGATTCCTAAGTAAACACAAAAAATATCAAATGATTTAATCAAAATAATATAAAAACTGATAATTAATGATTATCAAAAATGCAATAACATATATAAACAGAAAATTTAAAAATAGTGTATTTTTAAAATGGTACAAATTATATATCATGTTTGTTTATAAATAAGGTAAAATTAAAATAACAAAAAATAAAGTTAGATGAGAGATATACTAATCATGCAACTAGATAAGAACATTTCAACAACTTTTTATTAATTATTACGATTATAACAATGATTATATAAACTAAAAATAATAATTTAATTAATTTTTGAGGGTAAAATTTAAATTTTCAGAATTAGTTTTTCATTATTAATAAGTATGAAAAAAAATGATAAATCATTCTCAGTAAAAAACTGATTGAAGTATAAAATATGGTATTGAATAAAAAGTATACTATATTTAACATTTATATTATATTATATATATATATTATATTAATAATGTATATGCTTCATAATATAAATTAAATTATAATAATAATTATATAAGTGATAAATGGTCATTTAATATTATTTATTGAAATTTTTGCTGTAATAGTCAAAGCAAGATCATACAGTATATTCTACATTGAATACAATATACACTATTTAAAAAGTTTAAATAATAAATCATAGTTAACTAACAGTTTAATTATGTTCTTTGTAGACTTAAAAATTTAAACACAATAAAAATTAAATTTATTATCTTACATGTGGTAAGAATCTTTATCAGACTTCTTCAAGACTCTACACACAACTGGAGATTTTTCTTCTATTGGTGAATCAATGCATACATCTTGTTGCTGTTCAGGTAATTTAGGTATCTCGGGATTACTACATACTGGTGTGACTAATGTATGCACTGGACTTCTGAGAATAATGAAAACAAATAATATTAATTTTAATTCACTAATTAAATCATTATTTTAAACATTATTCAATTATTTATTAACATATAATGAATAGGTACACATTAATTAAATATCTGCTTTAAAAAAAAATTAAGAAAAACCGAATAAAATCAAATACTATTTATCAAAAATGTGGACATTTATAAGCATATGTTTAAATACTGCTATTACTAATTTATAATAATTATATCCTAAAAAAGTTTAGATAATATAAAAGAATATATTAGAAGTTGTATTATCTTTTAATCAAGGCTTATAAAATAATTTACAATAGAAAGTATATTAATAAGTTATGTTTTATCATTTATTTTTCCAGCATAAATTTACAATTAGTAAACGTAATAGGATACTCACCTAGGGTCTTCTAAATTCTTTAAATTCAAATTTGAAAACGTTGATGCAATATTTTCGCTTGAGCTTGAGCAATCTGGTTTTGATAAACGAGCAAATAATGCCTGTATTTTAAATTAATTTGAATCAAATAAAAAATATTTTTTTTTTTTTTTATAGGTAATAAAATATAATCCAAATCATGAATAATATATTATTATATTGAAAAAAAATAACTAATTATTTTTAAGTGTTTACTCATTGAAAAAATGGACTTTGTAATTTAATTTTACATAAAAATAAAAGAAAATTTTAACTAAATTATCTACAAAAATTATTACCCGTCTTCCTCGAACTTGAGGTGGTCCACTGAACAGGGTTGGAATATTTGTTATTGGAGCAGACACTTTTGAAACACAACTATCAGGTGATTTTGATGATTCCTCTAAATTTGATCGTTCTTCCGGTATTTGTGGTGGTATTTCTGGTTTTGGTACTTCTTCGGAATTTTTGGCAATTTGAGCCAAACGGCTTTTTAAAAAACCTCGACCTGTCATTCCTAGGAAATAATTTAAAATTAACTAAAATGGCAAGAAAAAAATATACATATTATGATTAATTTTAAATTTAAACCTTAAAATTCATAGAATTTAAATAAAATAAATATTTGAATAAATTTAATAACTAAAAATATATTTGTTATTACTGAAAATATAATTTAAATTAATTGTTTATTATTTATACACAACAATAAAATAAAGAATTGTATCAAATAATTATTTCTTGACTAAAATAGGTGATGACCATAGCTTACATGAAAGGTTCATAGATAATTCAAACAATATAAATTTTAGAAAGGTAATAAGAATAATGTAAACTAATGACAAAATAAATGTAATTTATTTATTATATTTATTATAGATATAATAATTTTAAACTTATTAAATGTAAATTATAAAATAGATATTAATTGAAAAATGAATTATTATTAACATGAATTAATACAATACCTTGGCATTCTTTAGTTTTATTATTTTATTATTTTTATTATTTTATTTTAAAATGTTTTTTGATTTTTTTTTTTAACAAAATGTGCATTAAAAAGGTTTTCAAACTTAATGACCATTAAATTCAAATTATTAAGAATTTTGCCTAAGATTTTTTTGTCATTATATTTTAGATTATCACTTTAGCCTTATCAATACCAAAATATAAGTATTATCTATATACTTATTTTTATCAGATATTTTATAGCACTGTTTTCCAAAAACATAAGTATTTAATTAGAAATGTACTCACACAAAAATAAAATTAATTTAGAACTTAGCATTAACTATATAATTGATCAGACCTCACATTTATCTTCAAAAAATCAAATGCAAATCAATATTGAATGCACAATTAAAATATTACAAAAAAAAATATTTGTAGTATGCTATTGAACAGTTAGATTTGCGTATTTAAAAGAAAATTGTTTGTATGTCATTGTATTTTTACAAAAATTTTTAAGTAAATCAAACAATTAAATATAATAGTAAAACAATGATGTTTATTTATAACAGGTAGTTTCTTCACTCAATGGCTGGATATGTCTGAATTTGTAACCTTTATAAACTCTTCTGAATCATATTTTTTTAAGTTCTAATCGTTGTTTATTTATTTTTTTGTTAACTGCTTAATCTCATTGTATTTCTTTAGGGTTCGGAAAAAAACAGTTTATTCCATTTTAAACAAAGTAATTTTTCCTTTTTTTTAAATTATTTTAAACGTATTTTAAACATTTAAATTCTTGTTTAAAAAAAGTAAAAAATTGTTATAATTTACATTTTAAGGACAATGGAAAATTGCATATAGAGCAAAAATATTGTATGTTATTATGTCGTATTGTTTATTTTCGAAGTTGGTTATACTGTTAGAGATATTGAGAGAATCTATATAATCAACACTAGAAAATAGTATTCAATACTTCACAAACATGTATATGTAATTTAAATTAATAATTACTCAATTAGGTACTTTAAGTACTATAATTAGTTTGAATGTTGACAATTACTTGCAATTAAATTTTTGTTTATAATTTATAGTGTTAAACTTGTATATAGTTTGTTATTTGTGCTATCAAATTTATTTTATTGGCAATAAAGCAATCATTTTTTTAAAAACTAAATGAACATGAGTCAAGGTTGTAATTTAGATAGTGTTTGGCAACATTTTTCTCGAAAAATATTAGATGGTATAGCTTCAACATAAAATTTAAAATGAAACAGAGCTATATGTAAGTACTACAAAAATGATTTTTATATTTATATTTATTTATTAATAGGCGGAGGTTAGAACTAAGGGAACCCTAAGGGTGGAGAGAGTAGAACCTATACAACAGTTTCACAGTATACAATTTACAATTTAAATAATTAATACAAATAACACACCAAATTTTACTAATCTTGATAAATGGCGCTCTCATTGACCAACCTCATCATGCGGTGTAAAAGATTATTTCTCCCATAATTTGTTATGTGTACAGGAACTACAATAGGAACGTGATGTCTAGTAATGTGAAAAAGAACTTTGAAATTAAGCGAAGATAGGAGTGACGGAGCATCAATACGACCGTCTATCAGTTTATTCATAAACTCTATGTTAGCATTAATTCTCCTGTCTGCTAGTGAGATAAGACAGAGTTCCCGCATTACTAATGATTAGTCATGGGGAGGATGATTTATTTTTAATATATAACCTACACAAGATAAGAATCTTCTCTGAATATGTTCTAATTGACAGGAGTCTGTTACTATATAAGGATCCCATAAGACATATGCATATTCTATAAGGGATCAGACCAAAGATGAAATTTAAAGATTTCAGTAAAGACGAATTCTTTTGATGTACTTATTATGAATCCAAGCGTTTTAATAGCTTTGCAACATATCGTTTCTATATAGGAGTGAAATTTAAGATTTACAATAAAAATAACACCCAAGACTTTCTTACTACCGACAGAGTTTACACTAAAACCGTTGATTGTGTACGTATAATTAATAGAGGAGTGGCGTTTTAAAAATGACATACAATGACATTTATTTACATTAAAACTGAAGACCAACACTATTACACCACGAAACCAGGTTGTTAAGATCATTCTGGAGCGCAGAGCAGTCAGATAAATTTTCAATTTTACTAAAAAGTTTTACGTCATTGGCAAACATGAGTAACTCACAGTTTTTGAGAACCCCTTTTATGCCATTTATATATAGCGAAAACAATACCGAGAATAAATGTCCTCCCTGAAGAACTCTGGAAGAGACATTAGAAATAGAAGATTTGCAGCCGAATACTTTAACCCATTGAACTCTATCTGCCAGATAGGATTTGAACCAAGATAGAAATGGTTCACCAAACCCAGATTTGTATAGGGTCTCAATTAGGCATCCATGGTCAAAGGCTTTAGCAAAATCTGTATAAATAACATCAATTTGAATGTGCTTTTCAACAGCCTCCAAAACATAATTGTTAAAGGCCATTAAATTCATAGTGGCCGAGCAACCAGGACTGCTCATCGATTAGAATTGAGTTAACAGGCAATTGAATACTTCTCAGTACTAATTGTTCAAATAGTTTAGATATTGTTGCTTTTGTGGCTAATATCTAGAAGAAGTTTATTATGAGGTTTATTTTTTGTACTTAAGGAATTAAAGGTTTTTTTTTTAAATTGTTATTATTATCTAACAAAAGTTATTAAGTTAAAAATTATTATTATTAGTATGCTTATTATTTTATTTTAATACTTAATACTTTTAAAGTTATTACTCAAGTTAAAAATATATTGATTCTATTTTACTTTTTGAGTTTTTGATAATTATAATGTTAATTGTTATTTATTATGTACCTAATTATAATGTTGTCAAGACTTACTAAAGAAATTAAAGAAGACTGAAATAATGCAATTGTATTTTAATATTTTAGAAAGTAATTAATTATTAATTAATTTTATTAGTAAGTTTTTTTTTCAATTAATAGGTATCAATAAAATTTAATTTATTTTATTAAAGGTTACAAATAAAATAATCTTGGAAATTACAATTAATTACCCACTTGTATCATGAAAATAAAAATAAATAATAAAAATAATAATTTAAATTGAAACTTTAATAATAGATGTTATGAGAAATAAATCATATCGGTTTGTTCAATTTTTTCTTTGTAAATTAACTAACATTTATGTCTAATTTAAGTTAATTAACCCTTCAAAATTAAATTTAAATGATTTAAAAATGTCTGCAATTGATAATGTTTTAATTGGGGTTATAATTGAAACTAATTCATCATTTAATAAATTTTGGTTCTAGAGCTATAGTAAAAAGGACCAAATTGACTTAAAAAATATCTGTCTATCCAAATCTGTTATTAAAAGTATTACTATTTAAAAAAAATCCAAGCTATGTTGTGCATTCGCACAATAAGAGTAAAAAATTTGAAAACCATTGAAAAATGTCTAATTAGGCATTTCCTGTCTCTTCCCGAAAACTGCATATCAATCCAATGTCACTTGACAGGATTATTTAGTGTTACCTTTAAAAAAAATCACACTGTATAGTCCATAAATCGCTCATTAAATTAATATTATTTATCATCTTTAATCAACTTAAAATATACTGTTTACTCATACAATTTTTCATTAATTTTGGAAAGTACTACTAACAAGTTTTAGTAAAAAGTATTTTAATTTAATACCCTGTTATAGAATATATATAAAAAGGGGCCATATGCAAATACAAATTTCAATATTCATAATCAAAAGAGAATATAACAGTTCTGTTCATATAAAAGAAGGCTGTAAAGGCACTGACACATTATTTTTCCTTTAAACTGGACATTTTCATGTAACAGCAATGCCTAAATTGATATCTTAACATGATTAAAAAGTTACAATAATATTTTTCTATTAGATCTGGATGGTTAATTGGAGGGAGAAGCATGCCTCTAGACAAAAACTGGTATATTCTCTTTTGTAATAGAGTAATAAGTCAAAATATAAAGACTAAATAAACAATATTTTAAATATTTCCTGGGCATCAGTAAAAAAATCTCAACTTTATAAATAAGAAAACGTATACACTGTCGTGGTAGACCATGTCTGTCATGGTAGACCATACCAACTACCAATATCAATGAGTCAGTGAAAACACAAAACCAATATCGTATACAAACGAAGAAGTGATATAACGTAGAAAAAAGAACACCGAAAGCCATTGAGAAAATAAATAGTACTATGATAATATTTGTAAAAATTAATTTACTGCATTTGACTAAAACACGAACAACAATTAAGTTAGACCCATCAAATGTCGTTCCCAGATAGTGTTCTCATAGTTCAGCGATTTTCATACCACGTGTTATCGAAACGAATAACGAAAGAAATTACGAGAAAAATGGCCTACGATTCCTACGTCAGTCACGGTTATATCGGCGGCCGTCCGTACAGGGCGGAAATCGGCGACCGGGACACCGTACGCGCATGCCGCTACGAGTGTGCACCGACGCCTGGAAACGTTGTTGGCAAGAGATGCTATGGGTTTCGCAGTTTCACCTATTCGAAATTTCAATATATTCGATATGATACGTTTTCCACTTACTGAAGGCCTGCGGTGCGTCGTTGACAAGTTGCTGCGGCGGCGGGTGGAGCTACAAAGATAACGTGGATGGAAGGTTAGGGTCGCGGATTCCAGCGGAGCAGCTGCGGTGTCGACGACGATTGACGGTCGCGACGGAATGTTCGAACGAATGACGTAGAAAAAAAAAGAAAAAAAAAGAAAGAAGAGAAAAAAAAAGGACAAAACTGTGTGGAAATGAAACGTACGGGGGCAAAACTAGGTAATGCGACCGAACGAGTCAAGGCACAACACGAAAATGCAGGGTGAAAGGTGGTGAGCGGGCCGGCGCCGGGAAACGATGACGTATGACGCGGTGGTGAGTGGTGGGGAACGAATCACGTGACCACGCGCTGATCGTATGGAAGGAAAACGTTCGTTGCCCGACAGACATTTTTTTTTTTTCCGAATGTTTCCGTTATCGGCACCGGTACAGAGTGTGTCACATCCCGCCGATGCCTAATCTTTGTCGTCCGACCCAAGTGATGGGAAACAAATCAGGTGATTCAAAAACCTCTCGTGGTCAATACGTAATAGTTTCTTTCAACCGATCTCAATACCGAGAGAACGGCTCTCGATAACGTTCAAAATGATCGAGACCAATCGATTAAATCGAACGGTCGAGAATCTTCTCTCGATCGTTCCCATCATTCGGTATCAGAGATGGAAAGTTTGGTTCATTTCTGTGAATAGTTCATTCAAATGAATAGTTCAAATGAACTATTCTTAAGTTCACTAATTTTATTGATCATACTCATATTGTTTAGCAATGAACTATTCGTTTTATCACTACTAGTACAGCGGTACACAGTTCATTAGTAGTTCACGTTACTTATGGACAATTAATTATTTGTTATCTAATTGTAAACAGCTGTTTAAATTTACCGGATTTCGAACGAACCACAAAGAATTTTTAAAGAAATTCGCGAACTATTTCATTTCTACAATGCTATCAATTTTTTTCGAACTGTAAACTACTAAGTTACAGGTACAGAAACAGAATGTACTGCTACAGAATAGTTCATCAAAGTGAATAGTTCAAATGAACTATTCGTTCACGAACTAAACATCTCTATTCGGTATCATCCACGCTATCGCGCGCCGCTCCAGGACGGGACGCCATTGCCGTCGCCGAACGAACAGTGCTCTCGTTTCGATGACGCTTTTTCTTTTTTTTTTTTGCCCTTCCGGTCGTGCGACGATTTAGGACCCGGAGTGTTTATTGCAACCAACACGTTGCACCTCTTAACTGTAAAATATAATATTACAGTTTCCACGGCTCTGAGGATCACTCGGGAATTCGTTCATTGTCGAAATCGTAGTTTTTCCATTTCCAAATGCTTTTCAGACCGAAATTATTGCTGTCGGTAAACACTAGATCGATATAATTAATGTTCCCTATTCTGTTAGCGGTGACCACACACACACGCAAACATATGCCTATATATATATATATATATATATATATGTCTTTTACGTGCGTCTGTAATTATCGGCGAACATAATTTTATCGTTATCGGTTGAATAGGCACGGGAATTTCAACTCATTACGGTAAATCGAATCTTTCAACTCAGCTCGGTTGAATCAGTGGATCCGCTCTTATCGCTTCCAACTTTTTTGTTTGAATCTGAATCAAAATCTCGTATGTCGATTCTCGGGATTCGGAGTCTAAAGGTGCGTTTACATTACGGTCATGAATTAATATAATATAATATTATTTAAATATTCAAAACCAATGTGTGCTTTCAAAAAAATTTACGGAGCCCCGAAATCAAGAATTTATATTCAAGACAACAATAATTATTAATATTTCATATTAAGCAAAACACACAGTTCAAAATTTAATTATTTTTAAAGTTCGGATTTTGTCATTTGCTGTGAAAACTTTGGTCATTTCACGTTGTATTGATAAATTTACTTCATTTAATTTTGTGAAATTACCAGCCAAGTCATGAAGTCATAATAACCAAATTTTATCAGAAGTATAAAGTATAAGTTGTAAATAAAATTGGTGTCACTAAAACGTATAATTCATTGCGCAATTCAAGTAATCATACCAGTGTTTTTCCTCAATAACTAAAAAATATAATTATATTTAAATTTAGTTAATTAATATATGCCCATGGAGCCCTAGGGTTCCACGGAGCATAGCTTGTGAACCACTGAATTACGACTTATTACATTATAAAACACGAATATATATACGAATTTCATTGAATATTTTACCAGGGTGGCTCACGAACAGGGTTGCCACCTTTTTGTCTTCAAACTACATCATGACTTGACAATATTTTTCGTCTCACAAAACAAATTGTGAATATACGGTGCCTACCAATTGTTAGGTTAGGTTACCAAAACCAGTAAAGTACAAAACACAAAAGAAAAATAAAAACATTTTTAACTAAAAAGTATCTTTATTTTGAAGAACTAAACTTTTTAACAAAATTATAACATTTTTATTAGGGAAAATATTTTTTTTATAAACATATTACATGTTATTTTTAAATGATAGGTTACATAGGTTAGGTTATATATAAATAAATACTTTTTATTGATCTTAGAAGCTTTTAGTAATCGTTCATTATTAATAAAAGTATCGTATATTTCAGCACGTTTCATTAGCATTAAGAGAGATAATCAATTCGTATTAAATAAGTTTAAGCATACACTTATTCCTTTCATCTCTATATTTTAATTTCATCATAGAAAATACTCTCACGCAGTAATAGGTAAATACAGATAAGAATAGTTGTAATTCTGACTAGATTCGTACTAATTGTATATGTTATATAAATAAATTATTTTGGCGTACTTTATTTAAACTATTAAGTATCAAGTATAACAATTAAAAAAACAGTACAATACTTGGAAAAATAGTACGGCTAGCAACCATGTTCACGAACATATTAAGTTAATATAACTATCTATGTAACCATCTATACCTCCCACAATTTTGTTAATTAACCTTTAGATACAAAAGTCAATAATCCTTGTTGTGGCTTAAAATATAAAAAAAAAATTTTAAAAAAAATATATATAATCTTCATATAATCTGCACTTTTATAGCACAAAAGTAATAAAGATGGCTAATAGCCGATAAACATATTAAATTACGAATTAGTTCAATATTATTTTGTTTTGATGAGATTACAAATTTTCTAATGAATTCTCATAAGCATATTATGAAATTATATCGTTGTTAAAGTAGTCAGTTGTAGTGATGGGAATATCATGCACCTAGGTGAACCGTTCAGTCGTTCATCGTTTACTTTAATCACAAATCAATCGGTCAATGACGAATTGTACGTTCGTCGATGAAACGTTCATTAAATTGAACTAGTTCATCGTTCACAATCCACAAATCGTTCGTTCGTTTTTACTTCAATGAACTTAGCTTATTCTTATCATTCATTCTTATCAATAAACGAAACACAATTAATATCGTTCAGTGAACGAGATTATTTACCATTTTGTCGCTTTGATAAATGAACGATGAACGATTTAAAAGTTATTTTGTTTATAGTTCACATCGAGTTACTTATCGAGTCTTTGAATTATAGCACACTGATTCAACTCATTCAGTTCACCTAAAAAAGTCGAATCTCTGACCAACCCACTCACCAACTGTCCAACCTTACTAGCTCATGAAGTACACATCCCTTACAATAAACATTCAACGATCCAATTAATCTGAGAAAATACAATATGACGAATAATTAAAGGTCCCCGCACACTGCGGTTGCGGTGGCGGTGGCGATATTAAAATCGCAGACCTGAACACATTGCGACGGTGGCGGTGGCGATGTTTATCCAGTATAAACATAATATATTTATATATTACATACAATAATTGTATAATTAATTAATTAATTCCTATGTCATTGATAAATTGACGATTTATCTATATAGTACGTTAGTACTATATTAAGTACTTATACTACTGTTCAAATTCATTTTATACAAATATAAAATTGTATTCATTATTTTTATATGAATTATTTTTAATTAAGTTAAATAATATATTAAACTATAACTTGAATAGTTTCTAGGAAATAATCGAAGTCTAAACTAATGTACACCATATATATTAGATATTATATATAGGTATTATTAGCGTATATTTGTTAAGTCAATTGAAAATACCGCTGCGCGGTGGCGGTGAAATCAAGCATGCTGCGCTTTTTATAAATATCGTAGCGGCGATATTTTACCGCGGCCAAATTACCGTTGCAGTGTGCAGACTTCCATTACAATTATTGTTTATACGTATAAGACGTGTGTACAAATTTAACGCCACTGCCACCGCGGCAGTGTGTGGGGAACTTTAGTCGTCTACTGACTATGTAAGGCCCGTTTCACGCGCAACGGTTTCATCCGTACGATTAAATTCCGTACGGACAGAGTTTTCTCGTGAATCGTCCATGCGGTAGCTACATTTTGTAAATTTTTTCAGTTTGCTTTCGACGGGCACGCGTAAAATTGCCGAAAATAAAACAGCTGGACAGCCTGGGACGACATTTCCTTGGTGGCAGGCAGGGTCGTAGGGGAGAGTTGGGTAAAATGGGGAAGTCGGATAAAACAGGGTATAGGTGGTTTCCGGTCACACTGGAATCGATTTGTGAAAACTGTATCGTATTTTATCAATACGAGGCTTATTAAAACATGTGATGTTTGAATGTTTGTTCTTTATCAAATATTCTTATCACAAAACAAATTTATTGTTTTTAACATGTAGCGTAGAAACTTTTTCGCTGTCGAAGAATTGCGTTTTTCATGGTCTCCTTTCGTATATTAAAAACAGATAATTATTATTTCTTATTTAGTACTTGATAATGTTTGTTTTAAAACAAACATCAAGTGAAACAGTGAAACCAAAGTTTTTTTAAAACAACATTGTGTGTGATTAGTTAGTTTTGTTTAAAACGGGGTACTCAAGAGTCGGTTAAAATGGGGTACCCCGTTTTAACCTTATAGTACTACTATAATGCTAAAAACATGATTTATTTTTATTATCATCACCCACACAAATGAACTTTGTACCTATACAGTGTAATTGCCTTTTAAGTCTTCTTTATTTTTAAGTTAAAATTTTTTATAATTATGAATGTTTAATTTATCATAACTAAAATGATTTATATTCCATTTAAAATATTGCTAACTATTAATAATATTGTTTTTTTAATTTTATGTTGTTAATTATGTTACCTATTATTAATCAAGAAGAGATTATTTTATTTTAAGATTATTATTCATAACTCTTATGATAGTTAT